CAGAAAACTTTGCAAGGCTATAACCAGATCCTACCTGGCTGTCAAAGTTGTCATTTTTTGGTTGACATCACATCCCACATGAATGAACTGAACTTGAAACTTCAGGGAAAGGATAACCTTATCTGTGATCTCTACAGAATCATCAAAGGATTTTGGAGAAAGCTATCATTGTTTGAAGCACAGTGTTTCAATCAGTTTCGCGCTGGAATCACAGAATATGTCAACCTCGAGTTTCCGAAGAAGATTATTAGTGACTTAAATAAGCATTTTTTGGAGAGATTTTCAGATCTCGACAGAATTGAGAGTGACATTCTTCTGTTCCAGAATCTGTTTGCTTGTAACCTTGATGACGTGCCAGTTGAACTATAGTTGGAGCTCATTGATTTGCAAGCAAATGACTTGTTGAAAGAGAAGCACAGAGAAGGAAAACTTGTTGAATTTTATCGCTGCTTACCTGATGATGAGTTTTCAAAGTTGAAGAAATTTGCATCAGTGTTTGGAACAACTTATGTCTGTGAGCAAACATTTTCAAAAATGTAGTATGTAAAGTCAGCACATCGAACGATGTTGAACATTTGAAAGTTAATTCTCTTGGTTGGATGCAGCAATTCCAAAGCAAATATTGATGATATCTCAAAAGCTAAATGCCAGTTTCACAAATCTCACTAACCTTTTTTGCTGCTTTGTTTGTGAGATTCAGATATGTGCGTACTGGGTGTGATATAACTATCTTATTGCTAACGTCATCTTCTTTGATAACTTTTTGGTAAATAAACATGTTTGTTGTCTTTATTTTTTGTGTATTCACTGTATTGTATTGAAAGAAATGGTTATGCGGCCCACGCTCATCATTCTCTCAGTTAACTGGCCCGCTGTGAAAAAAGTTTGGTGACCCCTGGTCTAGATTGTACACACTATTTCATTTAAATGTTCTCATGCTTTTATAGTATCAGCTAAGTTATCAAATATTTAATTTTTTCCTCATAAACATCTTTCATTATTTTCATACATTACTATAAGAATTTTTACTTTTGGAGCAAGAGTTTCATACGATTTGAGAAAATAATAAACTGTAAGAGGTTTTCTGAGCAAAAAAACTTTTTTTTTTAAAACCTATGATCTTTGAAAATAATTTTAGTAGGTACACCGGCTTGTCTGAAAGCTGGTTTGGTTGAAAAGACAGATTGCAGTGTAGTTTTCAGTTACAGACAGAACAAAGCTTCCAGAGGAATCAGTTTACTGCTTAGGTCTTCTCATTAATAGTTTGTTGCAATAATAGTAAAGACTGTTTTTTTCCTTATAGGTGTATTCTAACAATTAAAAGGCTGGGTAATGTATAATTGCTCATTATATACTTTATTTTTTACCTGTGTTAATGGTGGTCAAAGACTGATGAGAAGTGACATGCAAATCTTGAAATCTTTAATGTGTAAAAAAAAGAAAAAAGTGTTAGTGGAATTTATTGCACTTTTATCGCATTAACTGATTATAAGTGTTGTGAAACAGTTTTTACTATTAATATGTCTTATCCCAGGGGAATGTAGAGGCATCGGTGGAATATTCTTTGATGATGTTGACTCACCAAATCAAGACAAAGCATTTCAGTTTGTTTCTGTAAGTAATTCAGGTTTGTTTTTTTTGAGTTCCTAGTTCTGTTTCATTTCTATGACATTATAATGTAAGTTTTAAAGTTTTATTGTCAAAAATTCATAGTAAAGACTGTATATCTATGCTTGACCTGTATGTTTCACAGAATAAGAACTCTACATTTGAGGATGCATTACATAGGGTGTCTGAAAATTGTCATGCATTACAATGTTAAACCACGACAAGACAGTAACAGTTACAAACTTATGGTTTGTAATGGATGAAGGGCACATGTTTACAGTTTTTTGCCATATTAAGTGTAATCACATACCACACATGCCCAGCCACCAAATACATCTAACAATCATGGTGATAGACAAGCTATGTACATGCTGTAGTTAGCAGAGATGAAATCACCAGTTTAATACAAAGACAGTATCATAATGTATATGGAAAAGGTTCACCGGTTGAAAGAATTCTATCAAGAAGTGATACTGACAGTTTCAAGAGTCAAGGAGCATGTGACACTATAAAGTAGCCACAATTGGCCAATCCACTGGTCGACATAGTTGCCAGACATCACTACACTAGTGTTTTTCCTCTATGGTTATGTGAAGGACATCACCTTTGGCACAAAGTTGATTGAGCTAGGGACACTACGCGAATGGATCTCTGATGTCATAGCTAGTGTGATGCCCAATATGCTGACCAACACATGTAAGAAAATCAAATATTAACTTAATATTTTGAGAACCACAAATGGAGCACTTGTAGACGTGGACTTGTAGCATATGGTGTGTGTCAAAAAACTGCAGACATGTTCTTGCAACTGTTACTATTTTTGTTGTGGTTTAAGTTTGTAATGTGTCACATATTTTTTGGGCACCTTGTATACAGAGATATATATATATATAAAACTGAAAACATGTCTATCCCTCATAATGTTGTTAACTTGATAATAGAAGGTGCAGTTGTACAAAACATATATTGTAATTTTCCTGGCAAAAAAAGATCATTTATAAAAAAAGTGTGGGAGTGTGTTTGCTTAAATTAATTCTTACTGTCTAATTTAGATTGTAATATTGGCATAATGAATATAACACTTGATTTATTGTGGTGGTGTTAATAACATATACTAGTTTCATTGTTTTAGCAGTTTAATGCAATATATTGAAGTATTTACCTTGTAATATTGAAACTAACATCTTGCAATTCAAGAGTAGTATGTTTTTCTAAAAAAATCATCTAATTTTTTGTTGTCTTTTAAAAATTAATAAATATCAGATGTATATACCATTATTATTATAATTTTACGTATGTGTACATTTATACATCATCAAAAAAAAACAGCTGTGGATTTTTGATTTTTATAAGGAGGGTGTGGATTCAAGTTTTCAGTAGCTGGTTAAGTTGCATATATAATATTATATTTAGTTTTATAGGATTGTAAATACTTTTAAATAGTGCTTACACTCTGTTAGTAAAATATTTTGGCAGACAGTTTTATTTCATAAACAGGCATGGGACTTGTGCATAATAAAGCTTGTATTTTACAGTCTTGTGCCAAGGCTGTAATTCCCTGTTATGTACCAATTGTGAATAAGAACAAAGAAAAAGGATATTCTTATGCTGATCGCCAGTGGCAACTTTTAAGGAGAGGAAGGTGAGTTATTAACCTGTTGATAATAGAAGACTGTTTCTGGAGTAAACTGTGGCTATACACAGAAATTTTATCTTTTACTCTATAAACAACATTAAAATATATTGATAAGTGATGAGCTCAAAATTAATTCTTCCTATAATAGTGTACTTACAAATTTTTAGGTATAAAACTTGTACAAAAATAAATGTATGTATTCCAAGGTTAATAAATATCTGATTAAATAGAGGTATTTTATATTGTAGAGTTTGTTGATAGAGATCAGGTAAGTTGTTAGAATTAAAAAAAAATTATATTTTACTCATTGGTGCTTATTGACTTGCATGACCTTGATTTGGTGTTCTTGTATGCAGTTCACTTGGGGGTTTTGTTTTTATTCCACTTATATAATTTTGTACTATTTTCTATTTTTTTGTTCCCCCCTGTAGCTCATTTCTGGCTTCATAGCTAGTGAGTGATGGTGACCCCCTCACCCTCCCCACTACACAGTCAGACAAGAGTTGGTGGTGGGTGCTATTGAGTAGCTACTTTCCTTCTAGCCTATCAGTTCAAAATTAGTGATGGCTTTGTACATATGGCCATCCTGTAGCTTTGTGTGAAAAATACTGAAATAAACAGTTCTTTTGGTACTCTTCTTTGTGGTTCCCTTATAGTAATTGAACTTCTTTAAGCCCTTATTCTCCTGTAATTATGTGTGGAAATACTGAAACAAACAAGTAGTACTGTCAGTACTCTTCATTGTAGTTCCATTTTAATAAGTAACCATCTTTATCCTCCTTTGAGATTTTTAATGCATTTCATTTTTTGATGAATGTTTGCCAGTCTTACTGGATTTTTATCACAACATCTTAATCCTCGGTTTCTTTCCCTTTGTCTTCAACCTCCCACCTGGATGCATTTTTAAGATTTGTATAAGAAATAATATTGTTCCTGGTACAATATACTCTGATTGGATGCAGCCTTTGTTTCTGGGCTTAAATTGGAAAGAACACTGTCATTACCTTTAGAGTTTCTCTTGATTCTCCTCTTGATGTGCCCTGTCGTAGTATGGAGTAGTATGAGAAGCATTTCTATTCTTATTCCTGGTTTGATGAGTTGTGCATGTCATTGTTTGATGACCTAATTCACAGTTATTTTATGATACAGATCATTTTATATCTAAAGGAAATTACATAATTGAATTTTGTTATGATTCCTATCTGCTACTAATAACTTTGACTTGAAATTGATAATAGTGCATTGTTTATATTCATAATTGAAACATTGAGAAAGGAAGTGGAAATACATTACTCCAAACCAGACTTTTCCAATTTTAATTGAATGAATACCATTATTACAGGTGTTTAAAGAAGATCAAATTATGGGTTTCATAAAAACTTATTAAAAACAAAGCACCTTGCTGGGCTGAGAATTGGAACATAGGCTAAACTGTTGTGGCAGTGTGGTTCCATTTAATTTTTGGAACAATTAACAAAATGTATAAATTATAGAGCTATTGCCAAAACCACAGTAATTAAATAGTTCTTAACCCTTTCCAGATGGATTACAGTTCAAAGGCCATGTTATTGCATTTGTTGACTCGCATTCAAAATTTTATTGAACTAATATCTCATGAATTTATGTCAATCAGTTTGGTATTAAACTGTAGATTATAATTCAAATTTTAATATTATACATTATTTAGTTTCTTAATTTAAAAGTAAATAAAAAAAAAAAACAGTTAAATATCAATTTTTGTATGTCACATGGTATGTTGAATGCAGTACCTTAGTTTAAAGTAGATGTTTGTGATGTCAAAATACTAAGTCTATAGTTTCATACTGAATCTGTACAGAGATATATTAGTGAAAATAACAGATAAAAGT